AATGTTTGTAAAGCAATAAACATATACTTAGTAGTTCTCCAGTACACACAGCTGATTCAGGCTTCATGACAATTTTCCACTGACTATCACTTCCATCTTGCTGAAACAGGGAATGCCTTTATTTCTTTTCCAATCTTAGCACATGCTGGAGTGGTCTTCTGATCCATTTTTGCCACAGTGGACACAGATTCATTCAAATAAATTAATCCCTCCTCACGATGCACTTGAAAGAGACACGTGCCAGTGAATAACTAAACCACATTACCACACCCTCAAGGAAACTGCCTCTGATGTGCATTTGTCCTAACAAGCATAGAGAAAACACGGAGCTTTTCCTTGTCATCACTTCCCTCCCACCAGATCATCAAGCAGTGGAGAGAGGGCTCCAGTAAAGGGAGAACAGAGAGGGGTTTCCGGTCTGTTTTCGGGTTTTTTGTTGTTTGTTTGTTTTACAGCTTTTCATGCTGTGAATTCCAACCATTCATTATATTTTTTAATGTAACATGTTTAAAAGAACACTTCTCCATAGAGTCTTCATTGAGGTTAGAGAAGACTTTGCTGCTGCCTGATTCTGAAATAGCCCAGAAATCTTTACGTGTTCTGGGAAATTCTGAACAGGATTTGGTCTTATGAGAGACCTGGAGGATGAGCAGACTCGGTGCACGTACACACACGCACACAGTTGAGGCATTTACTAAAAGCTTGGCAGCACAGGTAGCACAGAAATCAGACATGACATTGTCCTTGCCCCAGGAGGCTCAGACTTCTTGGGTTTTGATAAAACCTGCATTTTGCCTTTTGCTCAAAAGTTCTGCTGAACTGGGTACAAATGCTTTTTAATCCAACAGAAGTTACAAAACTGTCATTATAACTCTATGTTGGCGTTTTCAGAGGGTTCAGCTTGAAGCCCCTTCCTTGCACATCATCTGCCTTGGGAATTCACTGGCTTGCTGTATTGCCTTCGGCTGCTGTGGCTTTTCAGCTTAGAGCTCAGGGAGGAAGTATTTATACTTCGACCTTTGTATAGTGGATCTGTGTATAAAAATTCATTTTGCCCACATCGGGTTTCCCATAAGAGCAGGTAGGTTGTACATGGCGTGGTCACTGTTGCTCTGCTTAGAGAGCAGCAAATAAAATCTTAGTCATGTATAGATTGTCACAGAGGTGATAGCGGTATTTTGTTGTTATTCTCATTATTTTCACATCTCTGGCACAGGTTCGGAGAAGCTGGGGGAAAGAATCATTTTTGGATGACTCAGCTGCACCACACTGGGCAGCTCCCAGCCCTTTGAGCCTCTCTCTGGGTTTCAAGAAGGTGGGGACAGGAGTGAGACAATATTCACTCCTCACACCTACCTAAGGAGTGTCTGGAGACTTTTGTGGAAACCAGAGTTTGTGCCCTGAGTCTGTGAAGCAGCTGCTTTGGACTGTGCTTGGGAAGGCGTGAGGAGCAGGGACGCACGTACCCAGAGCTGGGGGCTAACAGTCACAAGAAGAGCAAGTGATTCTCATCTGAAGCAGCTCCTTCTGCCTTTCTGCTTGTGTGGGTCCCTCACAAACATGGACATGGACTCTCCCCTGCCAGTCTAGGGGGCAGGAGGTCCCCAGTGCTGGCCTGATCATGTCTGGAGGGCGAGGACTAGCTGCATTTTAAGTGGGACAAGGAAACAGAGCATGAATCTGAGGAGAGCAACCATAATGGAAGGGATGTGGAAACACTGATGAGCGTTAAGCCAGTTTCCTCATTTGTAAAATGGGCCACCTTCATGGGGTGTCACATTAAGAATTCAATGAGATAATACATGTGAAACCATTAGTCTGTACATGCACTTTTGTCATTCAGCTCAGTTCAGTCGCTCAGTCATGTCTGACTCTTTGTGACCCCCTGAACCACAGCACACCAGGCCCCCCTGTCCATCGCCAACTCCCGGACTCCACCCAAACCCATGTCCGTTGAGTCGGTGATGCCATCCAACCATCTCATCCTCCATTGTCCCCTTCTCCTCCTGCCCTCAATCTTTCCCAGCATCAGGGTCTTTTCAAATGAGTCAGCTCTTTGCATCAGGTGGCCAAAGTATTGGAGTATCAACTTCAACATCAGTCCTTCCAATGAAAACCCAAGACTGATCTCCTTTAGGATGGACTGGTTTGATCTCCTTGCAGTCCAAGGGACTCTCAAGAGTTTTCTCCAACACCACAGTTTAAAAGCATCAACTCTTCTGAGCTCAACTTTCTTTACAGTCCAACTCTCACATCCATATATGACTACTGGAAAAACCATAGCCTTGACTAGACGGACCTTTATTGACAAAGTAATGTCTCTGCTTTTTAATGTGCTATCTAGGTTGGTCATAACTTTCCTTCCAAGGAGTAAGAGTCTTTTAATTTCATGACTGGAATTCACCATCTGCAGTGATTTTGGAGCCCAAAAAAATAGTCAGCCACTCTTTCCACTGTTTCCCCATCTATGTGCCATGAAGTGATGGGACCAGATGCCATGATCTTAGTTTTCTGAATGTTGAGCTTTAAGCCAACTTTTCCACTCTCCTCTTTCACTTTCATCAAGAGGCTCTTAAGTTCTTCACTTTCTGCCATAAAGGTGGTGGCATCTGCATATCTGAGGTTATTGATATTTCTCCCGGCAGTCTTCATTCCAGCTTGTGCTTCTTCCAGCCCAGTGTTTCTCATGATGTACTCTACATATAAGTTAAATAAGCAGGGTGGCTGGAGAAGGAAATGGCAACCCACTCCAGTATTCTTGCCTGGAAAAATTCATGGACAGAGGAGTCTGGCGGGCTGAAGTCCATGGGATTACATGACTGAGCATGTGTGCACGAGGGTGGAGGGAGATGGGTTGGTAGCAATAAACTGGTAGAACTAAAAAAAATAATAATAATAAGCAGGGTGGGAATATACAGCCTTGACGTATTCCTTTTCCTATTTGGAACCAGTCTGTTGTTCCATGTCCAGTTCTAACTGTTGCTTCCTGACCTGCATACAGGTTTCTCAAGAGGCAGGTCAGGTGGTCTGGTATGCCCATCTCCCTCAGAATTTTCCACAGTTTATTGTGATCCACACAGTCAAAAGCTTTGGCATAGTCAATAAAGCAGAAATAGATGTTTTTCTGGAACTCTCTTGCTTTTTTGATGATCCAGCAGATGTTGACAATTTGATCCCTGGTTCCTCTGCCTTTTCTAAAACCAGCTTGAACATCTGGAAGTTCATGGTTCATGTACTGTTGAAGCCTGGCTTGGAGAATTTTGAGCATTACTTTACTACCCTGTGAGATGAGTGCAATTGTGCGGTAGTTTGATCATTCTTTGGCATTGCCTTTCTTTGGGACTGGAATGAAAACTGGCCTTTTGTAGTCCTGTGGCCACTGCTGAGTTTTCCAAATTTGCTGACATATTGAGTGCAGCACTTTCACAGCATCATCTTTTAGGATTTGAAATAGCTCAACTGGAATTCCATCACCTCCATTAGCTTTGTTTGTAGTAATGCTTTTGTCATTATTTTAGTTTCTTTTAAAATTTTTATTTATTTTTGACTGGGTATTTCCTCAAGGGGCTATTAATGAACTGGATCTTCATTGAGGTGCATGGGCTTCTTGTTGCAATGGCTTGTGGAGCACAAGCTCTTAGGCATGTAGGCTTTAGTACTTGTGGGCTTATTAGCCTCTTGGCATGTGGTATCTTCCCAGACCAGGGATTGAACCTGTGTCTTCTGCATTGGCAGATGGATTCTCAACCACTGGACCACCAGAGAATCCCTGCCATTATTTTAGAATAATGTGAGTTGTTCTTTTATGAGAAATATAGAAGAACCTGGGATTATTTCATCCAGATAAGAAAAGAGAAAGGCATGATGGCAGTCTTCAGATAGTTAAGGGACTATTATGTGGCTGAAAGAATAAGCTAATTCTTAGGGTTAAAATATGGCCTTCACAGGGAGGCAGGTTCATATCAGTAAGAGGTTTATTACAGGGATGCTCAGAAACAAGCAGGCTTCCTTGGCAAATATGGGGCTCTGCCACCAGACTTGTTCAGGCAGAAGCTGGATGGCCAGGCCCTCAGACACTTGAGGAGAGATACCAGCCCCTGGCAGGAGGTTGGTTGGATTAAATGCTCAGTTCTCTTCCATCTCTACAATGCCAGGAAACTTAGCAAGGGCTAAGGTTTGACTCCTCAGAGAGAACTCATGAAACCAGCAACAGCATAAAAAGAAACCTGGAAAATGTAGTCTCCAAGGCTCTTTGGGGATCCATTGGGTATAAAACAGCCAGCTCACTCATTTACCTAACAGAGATGAGTCTCAGCAGTTTCTTCATGGTATTGCTTTGTTAGGGCTGCCATGACAAAGTTCCACAGACTGAGTGGCCTACCAGCGATCCCCAACCTTTTTGGCACCAGGGACTGGTTTCATGGAGGACAGTTTTTCCATGGATGAGATGGTGGGGATGGTTTCAGGATGATTCAAGTGCATTACATTTATTGTGCCCTTTAATGCCACCACTGATCTGACAGGAGGTATTGGTCCATGACCCAGAAGTTGGGGGCCCCAGGCTTTTAACAGCAGAAATTTATTGCTCACGGTTTTGGAGGCCAGGAGTCCAAGATGAAGATGGTGGCAGAGCCAGTTTCTTCTGAGGTCCATCTCCTTGGCTGGTAGATGGCCACCTTCTCCCAGCATCTTCACATAGCCTTTCCTGTGTGAGGCAGTGACCTAATCTCCTCTTCTCATGAAGACACCAGTCGGATTAGGGCCCATCCTGATGACCTCATTCATGTAACCTCAGTCAACTCTTTAAAGACCCTGTCTCCAAATACAGCTACATTCTGACTGAAGTACTGGGTGTTAGGACTTTGACTAGGGGCAGACAGTTCCGCCGGAACAGAGAGGCGTTATCCTTTTGCGTCATGGTGATAAGGTCGTCCACCAGGACCAGCCTGGAGATTTTGGTGACAGGTCCTTTAACCTCTGTCCCTGATTCCTCCTCATAGGTGAACGGCCCTTCCCCTGCACATGGCCAGACTGCCTTAAAAAGTTCTCGCGCTCCGACGAGCTGACTCGCCACTACCGAACCCACACAGGGGAGAAGCAGTTCCGCTGTCCGCTCTGCGAGAAGCGCTTCATGCGGAGCGACCACCTGACCAAGCACGCGCGGCGGCACACAGAGTTCCATCCCAGCATGATCAAGCGATCCAAAAAGGCGCTGGCCAGCCCTTTGTGAGGCGCCGCCCCTCGGCCAGGAGGGACAGACCTGGAAGGACGAACTACTCCCAGCGAAGGACGGACACGCGCGAACCACGGCCCCCGGGAGGCGTGCTGCCAGCCTAGGAAGTTGCTGTTCTTTGGTCTCTAGTCTAATTTTCCTCTCCCCGCGTTGTTTTTAAAAGCACATTGTAGCCTGAGATCAAAGTCAACACTTGGTCCCCTTGCAGAGGCAACTCTGAACTGTCTCTGACTGTTGGAGGGAAGGCAAATGCTTTTTTTTTTCCCTCTCCGTAATTTTTTTGGGGGGTGGTGGTGGGTGGGGGGAGGGAGTCAGGTCAAGACTGGGGTAGAATTTTAAAGATACAACACTGGTGTACATATGTCTGACTGGGTGAGTTGACCTGTGGCATCACACAGTGATTCTGGGCCCTTTCTGCTTGCTGTCTTTCAGAATTGTTTTCTTACCTTTTAATGTAATGACCAGTGTGCTTCGGTTTCTTTAGCAAAACCACTCTCTTGAATCATGTTACCTTTTGAGATACAAAACGCCATAGCACAGCTGTCTTTATGCAAGCAAGAGCACATCTACTCCAGCATGATCTGTCATCTAAAGACTTGAAAACAAAAAAGTTACTTATAGTCAATGGGTAAGCAGTCTGAATTTATACTAATCAAGACAAACCTTTGAAAGGTTACACTAAGTACAGAACTTTCAAACCTTGCTTTGTATGAATTGTACTTTTTGAACATAAGCTGCACTTTTATTTTCTAATGCAGAGGATGAATAAGTTAAGTACATGCTTTAAGGATAGAAGCAGACATTCTGTTTGGAAATGCATTATAATCTGCTTATTTTACAGTACATGTTTCCCTGTGAAATGGCAAAGATGTGAGGGCAGAATATATATAACAGATGCTGAAGGAGAAGGAGGGTAGTACTTTTTCTTTTTAATTTAAAAAAACAAACAGAATTTTAGCTCTATTAACTTTTCAAAATTTCCCAATCCTTTTAATTAAATCCTTTTAATTAACCTCATCTTATTGTACCATAATGCCACGAACAGGAGGGCTTTGACTCTGTTGGGTTTTATTTGAATGAGTGCATAATGGTAACTAGCTCTGGGAACGTCTGCTTTCTGGGGAAAAGCATTGTTGGTTACCATCTCATATTCCTACAAAACTCCCACTAACAGGTGCAAGAGTTATGTAAAAAGAAAGGAGGGTGAAATGTGAAAAGAAAAGTAATACATCCCTGTAAGTAGTGAGTGCTAAGGGAAAATACCACAATGATTTCAGAGGAGACTGCAGAATCGTCTCTTTTGGAAAAGGAAGGCACATGGAATATGTAGGGATGAAAATGCATCACTGTATCTTTTACATTTTACATCAGTAGCCTCACCACTATAGATCTTGTATCCAGGTGTCTAAAATGGCCTCAACCACTACATCCATAATATGCCATTTATCTGATAACATAATTTTGGCCTTTATGTGGTCAGAAAAATGAACTGAGTTTTCATCATTAAGAAGAAACCTCAAATAGGGGAGTCAGCAGTGATGGTGGGGGAAATGTTTACATTTTTTTTTCATCAGAAACATTTTCTGACAATTTTATCTGATATTTAAAACAGGGAGCTATGGTGCACTCTAGTTTATACGTGTGCTATGAGATGTGTTGTGTAAACCTGGGGTGCCCACCTGTTGGTGAACTCATCATTTCACCTGACACATGCTTATTTCCAGTTCAGAACCAGTGTGGGCTCCTGCAGCAAGCATGGGTTACAGCTGATTCCAACTTCCAATACAATAGCCATCACCTGCATGGTGTTTTTCTTTTATTTGTTTAACCAATGTAGTTGTATTAGTAGTTCTATAAAAAGAACTGCTTTTAACATTAGGGACTGGGAGCAGTCCATGGGATAAAAAGGAGAGTGTTTTCTCACGGGAAAACATGTCAGGAAAAATAAAGAACACTTTCTACCTCTGTTTCAGATTTTTGAAACGCTTATTTTAAACCAAATTTTAATTTCTGTGTCCAAAATAAGTTTTAAGGACATCTGTTCTTCCATACGAAATAGGTTAGGCTGCCTATTTCTTACTGAACTCATGGAATGGTTCTGCTTGTGATCCGCTGCACGCTGCCTTTTAATGAGTGAGGAGTTTGGGGTTGCCTAGCAACCCACTAACTTGTACAAACTCATCTTTCCCTCACAGAATGAAATGAAGGAAAACCAAGCAAAGTCAGTGAAAGACAATCTTTATAGTTTCAGGAGTAAATCTATATATGGCTTTTGTCCAGCACTTAGATGGATGTAAATGCAGCAACTTGTTTAAAAAAAAAAAATGCACAATTTACTTCCCAAAAAAAAGTTGTACTTGCCTTTTCAAGTCGTTGAAGAACTCACATTTGATATTCTCTTATATGTTATAATAATATAACGTATAAACTCAAGGCTTTTTATTCTTTGTGATAACTCCTGTTTTAACACGTCACAAAACAGGAACCAGCATTCTAATTAGATTTACTCTATCAAGATATGGTTCAAATAGGACTACTAGAGTTCGTTGAACACTAAAACTATGAAACAGTTACTTTTTATATTAAAAAGACCATGGATTTAACTTTAAAAAATCCAAATGCAGGATAGTAATTTTTGTTTACTTTTTTAACCAAACTGAATTTTTTGAAAGACTATTGCAGGTGTTTAAAAAGAAAGAGAAATTGTTTTATCTAATACTGTAAGTAGTTGTCATATTCTGGAAAATTTAATAGTTTTAGAGTTAAGAGAACTCCTCTCCTTGGTTAGGGAAGAAGAAAGCCCTTCGCCACTGTGGAATGATGCCCTGGCTTTAAGGTGTAGCCCTACATCATGCTTCTTTTGAGAATTATATTTGGTAGTTATAATTACAGAAACTGATTAGATGTCAGTTTGCAGGTAGATTTAGCACAGTACTCATCACTCTGGATAGATTGAGATGTTCTTTCACAACAGATAAATGATCTGTAACACTGTAAGATACTGATCTTTACAACTGTTTAATCAGTTTTATTTTTGTACAGTATTAGTGACCTAAGTTATTTTGCTGTCCCATTTTTGTAAATCAAATGAAATTATAAGAGGATTCTGACAGTAGGTATTTTGTACATATGTATATAAGTTGTCCAAATAAAAATAATAAATGATAAAGATCAAATTGTTCCAGCCATTTGTGTTCTAAAAGGGGTGTGTTTTTGTCATACTGGAGGTTACTTTTTTAACCAGTGCTCACAGGGTTTTATGATGAGTACACAGATGATTTACTCTAGGCCTTTCAGCATGTGAGATATTTGTGTAGACCTGTCTGTATTTACTATTCACAGACCTCTGAGGAAGGAGATGGAATGGAGGCTGCGTGAAACTACTGTATTATACTGAAGGGGAATATTTATATTTTCAGGTAAATCACTTAAAGAGATCTATAAAGCTTATAACTGTTCTGGGGTAAACTAGGAACTAGAGAACATTACTCAGATTATTCTCTTGAGATACGGTATTGATAAGAACTCACAAATTGAAGTCTCAAAGGCAAAACAGTAAAACCATAAAACCAAGTGAAGATGAACACCAAAGAGCGTGTGTGTGTGTGTGTAATTTCGTCTAGATAATCTAAAACCTATAATCACAGTATAATCTAGTATAAGTAGATACTAGCTAGCTAGTATTTATTAAGCTTTTATTGTGCGTCACAGTGCCAAGTGTTCAGTACATTTTTCTCATTTTATCTTTACAGCAGCTCTGTACAGCTCCTCACAGAAGATACCACTGTTATCCACATATTTCAGATGGGGAAATTACTAATTTGCTAACACATTCTAGTAAGTAGTGTAGACCATATTTAAATCTGGATCTGCTGACCCGAAGCCTCCATGTTTCTATGCTTGCTACATCAGGTCATTTGCATTTGACCCATGTTATTGAGCAGCTGTTAATGCCATGCATTGTTGTCACTGAGGACACAAACATGACAAAAACACACAAACTCTCTTCATTCAAGGAGTTTATATGTTAGGGGATGAAAACCCATAAACAAGTAAACAAAGTATCCATATAATTTCAGACGGTGATAAGCAGTGTGATGAAAACAGAGTTGTGTGACTTGGGTGTTGGTTGGGGAAAGCCTACTGTAGGTTGAGTCTCCCTGAGGGGACTTACACATACGAGCTGGGAGCTGGGTGACATGGAGGAGCCAGGCCTGCAGATATGGAAGAAGTGAGAAGAGCCAGTGCGAGGAGTTTGGCAGGAAGGTGATCAGGATTTTGGAGGAACTCAAGGAAGGGGTGGCTGGAGTATAAACAAGGAAGGTGAGAGTGGATGGGGTGGTTGGCACAGGCCGGATCATGAGGTCTGTATTGCAGGTTACCGTGTAATGTTTGATTTTGATTCTAAGAGGGGGCAATCTCACAGAAGGACAAGCAGAAGACGGTTATGATCAGATATACATTTTTCAAGAAGCTCTTTTTGGGTGCTGTGTAGAGAATGGATTTTAGAGGGGCAAGAATAGAAGCAGGGAGACTGGTATTAGTCCAGGCAAAAGGTGATGATTACTTGGATCAGTGGAGGTAGATAGAAGTGAATAGTTCCAAAAGTGCCTCATTTAGTCTTGAAGATGGTAGGATGTCAGGGGTGAATGATAAAAAGCTCCAGTCATGACCCTCAGGTTATTACGGCCTGAGCAACAGGTTAATGCAGTTGGATGAGGTGGAGGAAAGGAGATGGCTGGTGTGAAGGAAAGCTGTGGACTCGTCTGTGGACATATTGCCCGTCAGACATCACAGAGAACAACAATTATACATACTAGTTTAGAACTCATAGAAGTGTGGACTGGAGATTTGGAAGTCACAGGCATGTTTGATGTAACTGAAGCCACAGGAATGGGTGGGATCACCTGTGGTAGAATAGAGAGAGTCTAGAATAGAGGACGAGGGAGGGGGGACAGAAAGGTAGCTGAAGAAATAACAAAACTTAGAAAACTGCA